GGCCCCGGCTACCCCACTCACCACAGTATTACTGTTATTATTTCCACAGAACCCTAATTACGTGGGCTCCAGCCAGAGGTTGCAAAAAAAACACAATCTTATTAAAATATAATTTATTTTACTATAAAATATTACATTAAAATTATAGCTAAGAAAGGGGACTAATACGAAGTGTGAATTAAGAATGCTAAACGATTACAATTTCGTAATGAGGTAAAGAACTATGACGCAAATGCGTTGTGCTGACTCGTGCCATCGCTCAATATTATTAGGATTCTATGGAAATACATGTTACAAATACATATTCTACACGTCCTAGAAGCGCGGCGGCGGAAAAAAAATATTTTGCGACATACCCAAGGGCAGCAATTAGCAGGAAAAATAAAAAAAAAAGTTTTAATAATCACTATTACGTCTAAATAACTAGACTAACTATAGATTATTTAACATCAATTGCGTATGATAATATTTTAAATTATATATTATATACGAGTAGGTTACTGTAAATTAAGTAAAATGCGTGTATTAAATGTGTAAATTCTTAAATAAGCCGTTTTCTGGATTGTGGCATTTCTATTCAAGAAATTCAAAAAATTAAAGAATATTTGAATATGAAGTATAGAAACCAATTGTTGATCATACAATTTAACATAGATATTCATGTCGATTAATTGCCTCAACAATTAATCTCTTTGTTCGGTTTTTCATTTAAATTTCGTTTGTTTTTGATTGTACTTTTACTTACAGTTGCCCTTAAATACGTAAATGAGTGCACTTAGTTATAGCAGTTATAGCTAAATCGGTTATGGATAAATCTAAGAATCGGGATAAAAGTTATTCAGGGCCTGAAACCGGCATCATTGGTAGGTCATGTTGACAATTCTTTAAGAGTCCACAAAACAATTATGAAACGGAAACGATTCTCGAAACAGGTACTATATTAAAAACAAACTACTAACTCAATATCCAATTAAGAACTCCTTGCTTGATTATCAGCATATATTATCGTAAACGCGTAACATCAAAAACTGGTTTAATTGACATAAACTAACTGTATAACTAAGGAACTATAACTACTGGCAGACCTAAAAAATAAATAAACTAGTCTTTGAATAATCTATATGGTCGTACCCTAAACAAAATATTAACGTTCCTTGATCTGTGGCGATATGTCCGGCCATTTGTAAATTATGATGTGGATGACGCACTACCCTCCGCCCATCACAGATTTATGGCTAACAATTTATAAATACTCTCGGAAATAGGCTAAAACTCAGATTTGACGCCCATCCAGATACAAGAATACCATAACGTCATTCCGAAAGATCATCATTGCTGAAGGTACTATGATAAATCGCACATTAATTTTATGTGAAAAGTTGCCCAACGAGCAGACGGTTCACCTGATGTTAATTCTGCTCGATGTTTTTGTAATCTCTCATTACTTGGCAGCAGCCTCGTCACTAACATCTAATCTAGCTCCTAAACAACTTGTAGGCATATTATGAATCATGGCATGAACTCTCTATACACTATTACTGTCTGAGTGATTTATTATTTTATTTATCTTTTTAATACCAGGTAATGGGATTCGAAGAAGCACATGCCTACCGGTTAGTCAAATTTTTAAAGCTCTCTAAATCGCTAACTGCATTTTATGCTGTAAAAATATTCTGTTTCTGGTTCGAGAAACAACTGAAATACTTTTGTCATCATCATCATAATTTCAGCCTGCTTTAGTCCACTGCTGAACATAGGCCACAGACTGCCGAAACGACGAAGCACGATCCTGAGCCACCTGCGTCCATCGACTTCCCGCACACTTGCACAGGTCGTCACTCCATCTGGTGGGGTGTCTTCCCCTACCGCGATGGCCGGTGCAAGGCTGCCACTTTTATCCCAATAACAGGTTGAATAATATTACCAAAGGAGCTGCCAACTTTTCAGAATAGAGTTCATCTTTCTCTTCGGATCTTTCCACCAGGCCACTTCCTATAGGTATATTGTTGCAGATTGTTATTGGTTGCAGATGCGTTGACAACCTTTTGAACATTGCACTCCGGCCACCTCACTCACCAGACGAAACGCGAAAGTATTATACTTCCACTTTACGCCGGTCTTCAAATATGCTTCTCAGATCTTCCTGTATACTCGTATATAGCTCTTTACTTTTCGAATATTACCAGAAATATTATATTCACACATCCTAGAGTAAATTCTACTTTTCTTAATGTAAAGTTCCTTTTTTTTTTTAAGTTTAATAAAATTTAGTGAATAGCATATAACCTATATGCTATTCATTTACCATTACTTTTTAAAATTTTTATGGAAATGAAAATCATAATGTCAATTGTTCTTTCAAATTAAAAAAAATGAATTTAACAGTTGTTTACATTACCAACGAAGAGAAGTGTATTCCAATCAATATCATTTAATTTATGGTTGAATGTATCACATTCAGCAGCACAAATTTGTTAGATAAAACAAAACTATTGATAAAGTTATCGTGTACGTAATTGCTGGACGAAAAAACAACAAAGCGTATTTGTAAAGAAAGATAATAAGCGTCATCTTGAAGGTCAAGTGTATCTCCACTAATTAATTTATTATTAAAATATATATATACTACTAGCTTATCGCATCGCTCGCGTTGAAGCCCTTAAATAAATATCTATCCATCCCTTTATAACCATTTTTCCAATTAAAAAATAACCTTTGTCCTTTCTCATGCTCTAGACTAGCTGTGTACCAAATTTCATTTAAATCGGTTCAGTAGTTTTGGCGTGAAAGCAAACAGAGTTACTTTCGCATTTATAATATTATAATAGTATGGAGTATGGATAGTATACGTATTTATAGTAGGTATTTGTTATTTTATAGTTATGTATTATATTTGATAAATATATTTTTCTACATATGTATTAATGTAATTATTTTTGCACCGCTATCCCGCAACTTTATTATCTATATCCTGTACCCTAAGGTTGCCTGGAAGAAATTGCTACCTTAGCAATAAGGCCTGTATGTACACTATATTTCCTGTATCTTCTTTCTTTATATTTCCTTTCGTGTGCAATAAAGTATAAAAGAAACAAACAAACATAATTTACGGATCCTAATGCACAGGACTAATTGCGTTTTATTTTATTTACCATGCTATTAAATTGTTGCCATCCCGTCGTCAATGGGTGATCCAAAAATTTACCCAGACGTTTAGTGACGCGGGGCTTAGCTACGCATGAGTTTCCTAGTTACGAGTACGGAGGAGGGGAATCCGCTATTCCATCATTTCTTTGCCGAAGCGACAAAAAAACGGTACGAAAGTGTTGAGTTCAAATTCACCCACGATTGTGGCTAAGCCATGGGAACCATCTCAGTGGCCATAATGGTAGAGTCTGGACAGATCTTCGACGGAGGGTCCGTACAAGATTGTACTGTGTATTGTGTATTAGACAAACTCTATCTCTAGATTTTAAAATGGGAAAACTCCTTTTCGTCTCCCCTGCCAGTTTCGGAGGTACCACTCTCCTTCAGGTACGTGGGAAGCTCGGTCTCTGTCACATCGAGCGGCCCCAGCGCAACTATGACATTCTCAGGCCTCCCCTCCTCGGGTGCTAGGTCACCCGGTCTGAACATATGGTGCTGTGCCAGTGCATTAGCACAGAACCTGTCATAAGCCGTTTCGAGCCAACCCTTATTTATCAGAGGTATGTACATGACACCTTTTCAATTTTAGGATCAAGTAAACTTAACGTGTTTTTATATCACCTGAACTCGCTAAATTCCAAAATACACTTAAATATGTTCTATAAAATTGTAGTAAATAACTCTTTAGCTTTAAGAAAATAGCACCCTAAGCCACTCTGTATGTATGCATTTATTACAAACATATACTTAAAAGGTGACTCTTACCAACGCCCATCCCCATTAGCAACCATGGATAAATCTATGTTTCAATGCAAGAGATTTATGACAAGAAACACCTGGTCACTGAGGAACAGCATATCGAGCAAATTCTGCAAATCAACCTGCTTCAAGCACCGCGCCTGATCGAGTCATAGCCATGGTGGAGCGAGTACCTGCTGTTCTGGTATAAAGGTTAAAGATCCCAAATTCTACGTTCACCCCTTAAATTGCCCCGACCACTATGTCAGATTTGATAGGCTATACAGATCCTTGTAAAAGTACACCGATTTCTCCCAAGAATGATTTAGAGGCTATCGAAATTAAAAAATACCCTAATCTCAATAGGGATCATTAGTAAAATTAAATCTAGACCCAAACGCACCACTACTGCAAGGCACGATTCAACATACACCTTCCGCGTTGATCGGACACAAAATTAATAATTTAAAAACTTAGGGTACCCCAGACTAACAATGATATCTCAGTTTGTGACCATGAATGCCGTATTCGAAACTTCTAGAATGACATTTTAATATAGTCGCGATAAATCTGTTTTAGTGTTATTTAATATTGAGACAGACCTTGAAGCAATGGGTCAACTATGGTGTAAACCCGCTACAATCTTCATGAGAAGCCCTTCTCCTTTATCGTAAAGCTGGATTTACCTGGAGCATAGGCAAGTTCCTCCCCGAGGCTACTGAGGAGTCCTAGCTTGGTAGTGTTTTTAGCCGACTTCAGAAAAGGAGGAGGTTTCTCAATTCGACCGTATATATTTTGTACTCTGCCGATATACGCGCTAGATAGACCATTTAGGGTTTCCGCTGGTGTAAGTCCACCGATATTATCTACCTCGAACCTTGAAAATCGCTAATGCTGTATTGGTTCTAACATTAGTCACGGCGGCGAATACTGAATATCAAGCACCAAAGCAAAAAAAAAGAGAAGAAATCACAGTGCATTTTGTTGTTTGCGCGGCGACAGAACTACCGCGTGTCGGGTGGAAAATTTTTAATTTAAAAAAAATCACCACAACGTTGTTTGCGCGGCGACAGAACGTGTCGGGTGGAAAAATTTTTATTAAAAAAAAAACTCACCACAACGACACCACCCACGATGATTTCATATTTTAGATTGAATTCCGTTTCCTTATCCTACCACACTTGGTTACTGATAAAGCCGTACTGCACACGTATCTCCAACTGGTCACCTCGCAAAAAGTTTCGACGTTTATCTATACTATAATAAAAGAGTAGAATATGCATGTCTGTCTCACATTGAATATATTTATGAAAAAATGAAACAGGGTATCATAAAAAGAGTTATAGGAAACATAAAAACCATTTTTGGAATTTTTGTCTGTCTGTCTGTCTGTTAGCGATAAACTTAAAAACTACTTATCAGATTTTAATGCAGTTTTCACTAGTTACTTAAGCAAAACTTGGGGCAACATATAGGCTTTGTTTCATGTCAATTGCTTCACTCAAACGGGAGATATAGGAGTTCTAAGATTAAAGCAGTGCAGTCGCAAACAGTTATTACAGTTATCCAACTACTGGACTAATTTCATAAGTAGGTTCCATTCGTCGGCTCCATAATATTATGTACTAACTTTCTTTATTTAATTTTTTGTGCCTTCCAGCGAGTCTGTTCTATTAAACTTTAATGAGTCCAGGGTGATCAACGGACAAATCTGTCACTGTTTAGTAATATAGATTTGCTTAGGCTTGGATATTCGGATATTACAAATTTTGCTTTGTGGTTTGGAAATTATGTTTGTTTTTTGTCATGGACTCAGAGATTGTATCTCATTTTTTTTTGTTATTAAGATACTTGTTTTGTAGTATTTTCTAAGTATTTTTTCTTAAAAACATTATTTGATTCGCTATCGACCTTTTAGTATTTATGACAAAAATGCCTCGTTAGAATTAAAAAGAATGAGAATGATTGGATCTCGGCAATCTAATGAAAACCAAACACAACTTAGTTCTGATACCCATTTCGCGAGAGACGCCATTCATTATCCCGCACATTGGAGTTAGTTATAGGTTAAAAGTAAACTAAGAGTGAATTTTGACTAACCAGCACCCGTAGAGGCCGTTGAAAATTACTACAGTACGTACACCGAGATGAAAGGCCAATGGGAAACGTCACAGTTGTTTTCTCTGGAGATTTTCGAAACCCTTCCTCTCATTACTCATGGGACTAAAGGGAAGAAATAAATGCCTCACAGAAGCGTTCTTATCTCTGATCTCAAAAACATAAGTTGCGGTTGATAGTTAACATACAGACTCCGATTACATGCCGATTCGATTTGAGAAGGCAGAATGGATATCCTTTCAGAGAAAAATGGGCAGGATCATCCGGACATACTTGGTACAGTCGTTTTCTCCGTAAAAAAAAATAATAAGTTCAGTATTTGGCGAACTTTCAAGTGTTCACATAACCAAGAATTTTCCCGAGGATATCAGGATAATTGTTGGTTATGTGAACGCATTATGCTCACTGCAAGCAATGACCAAGCCACAAATTAGCCGGTTGAGTTTTTAAGTTCGCTTACTGCAAGTGGTCTTTCTGCATATAAAATCCCGCTCAAAGTCGATATAAAATTGTTCAATGGCGGATTCCATTTTCAACTTCATATAAACTTAGCTTCATATAAACGTAACTTCTCTACAAAGGCACATAATTCAAGCGGAGATCGTCACTGGGTCTGACTCAGGCCAATTTGTGTTTATTTCGCGAGTACCAATCGCTGGATCAATCACCATGGCGCAGTTATCAAGGCATTGCCTTCGGCGTGGGTTTGATTCTCACACGGCACAATTATTTGTGTGACCCATAGTAATTGTGTGGAGCAACCGGTGTTAACATACCGAAGCGACTCCCCGGGATGGCGACAAGCTCGACAGATATAGGCGGCGCGATCTTTAACATTTTGTGTGTTTAAGCCTTCTATAATGAACTTTCTTTAGTTTTTAGGCATAGGCATATATAGCAGGGGGGCCGTGTGGGCCATGCGCACCCCAGTATTGTCTAGTGCCCCAGGATTTTGGGTTACTGATTCGAAATTCTTGGCTGGATACCCAAAACAGTTCTTAAAAAAATCATTAAAATGAAATAATTATCTACTGCCGAGAAGTCTATGTATATACCCAGCTTCGCACGGTTACAATGTATTATACATATGAACCTTCCTCTTGAATCACTCTATCTAGTAAAAAAGCCGCATCAAGATCCGTTGTGTAGTTTTAAAGATCTAAACATACATAGGGACAGACAGACAGCGGGACGACTTTGTTTTATACTATGTAGTGATGCACAGCAAGTGACATTTTACCACAGTCACTCACTTGTTTTGCCTTCCCAGAATCCCTCCACTAACACTTAAACTTTATGGTATGGTATTAAAGTTCAAATTGACTTTTAAGTATTATTAGGTAGGCTAGAATAAGACTATTATACCTTTTTATTATATTGTAAATTGATACTTTTGAAAAAAAGCAACTGTTGAGTTTCTTGCCGGTCTCTTCTCAACAGAATGATGTAAAGTTTGACGATTCATAAGAGCGCGCAAGCGTCTATTTGAATAAATATATTTTTGATTTTGATTTTGATTTTATTACGAATCGTTTTTACGGGAATATAGAAAAGTGTTGTTTTAGGACTTTTTAGGCAATTTTTAAAATTTTTCTTTCATAAGAACCTTCTCCTTTTTCTACATATTTTAATGTTCAATCTTAAGTGCAAAGATTAGCACTATAAACAATTTAAATTTCTAAAAAAGCAATGGCGACATCTCTCGTTCGAATTATCGTTGTGAAATGATATTCGAAGTTGCTTGTTTGCTGGAAAGGATATAACAATAGATGGCGCCAAGCATTGCTTCAAATGCAAAGAAAACAATGTAGAAGAATGCGTTAAGATTTTCGTCGGTGTGGTAATCAGCCGTTTAGCTCAGTGGCTAGAGAGTCAGGCCGCGAATGCCGAAGACGTGGGTTCGATTCCCACAGCGGCGACAATCTTTTCGCACTTTTTCTACATATTTTAACCTTCTCCTGATAATAACAAACACAACAAAAAAAAGTGAAATCGGTCCAGCCGTTCACGCGTGATCACGCCGATCAAGGGAAAAAGGGATTCATTTTTATATATATAAATTATTTTAAAACACATTCCGTTTATTTACTTGTGAATACACAACGTAATTACTACTAATTAGTTAATACTACTATTATAAATTAATAAAAAAAATATTCACTATAACGAACTGTTAATTTTTTAATGCGTAGTGTTCGATTTATTTTTTTTAGTAAAGACCCAGGCCCACAGTTAAGTAATCGGCGATCGGTATTCCAATAAAAAAAGATTTATTTAATTAATTACAAGGTGTTAACTGTATGACAATTTGGAATGGACTCATTTATAATTACAAAAACTTATGAACTAAAACTAATGGTGTCAGCGTTCCTTCGATGCGCCTTCGCCGTGCTGAGTCTGCAGTAATCGCGGTTATGACGTGCTAACTCCTCCCTCCTTAAGATAGAAGCGAGAGTTGGAGCTTCTAGCAGCGTCCTCGCTGCTGTTGCTATCCTGTGGTAGTCTATTGCTTTTCCACTTGTACAGCTTCCAGATGGCCGCTACACTCAGCAGCCCGTATAATATTAAAGTTGTCCAGCTGGGGGTTGCCATCAGGGTTGTCCAGTTGGATTCATCTTGTGGGATTATGCCATCTATCTTGTTGATGAGTTTGTGGATGCTGTCTAATGAGATATCCTCTTGAATTTATTCAAACTTGATGTGTTCTTGAGTGATTTGCTGTGCCTCAGGAAGGGGGATGGTTTCGTCGTTGAAGACTGTCCTCAGGTGGGTCTGTAGTGTGCTATTCAGGACATGTATCCGACAATCTTCAGTCAGTGTGACTATGAACGTTCCTTTCGTCTTTTTGTAGTCTGTCTTGGTGCCACAATGGATTTTGATAATTTCATCATCTTGCAGGATCAGTATCCAGCTGTTATCCCGGATTTTCTGGACTTTTCCTTTGGTCAGGTGCAGCTTGGCATACGTGCAATTGGCTTTCTGATGTTGAACCAGCGACGCTATGCAATCTTGTGTGTTTTTCATTCTTCTGACTTCCAGGGATTTGCAGAGATGAGTGTCATTGGTGATTGGTTGGCAGTCTTCTTCCTCGATGTGGGCGTACTCATCGCTACCAAGTGCAAGGTATTTGGACTTTGGGATTATAGTTAGGTTGTTGCGGTCAGGAATGGAGTAAAGGTGAATAAAATCGTATATTTTTGAATCAACAGAGGGGATTTCCAGGATAAAGTTTATTGAGTGTGGTGTACTATATGCTTTAACCTTTATAGATTTCTCTATCTTATGTATATTTATAATATTTATCTCATCTACTGGATTCATTGAATAATAATTACGCAAAATTACTAATTCTTTAATAAGATTTTGTGGACCAATAACGCTTGGATGCATAGTTCCTAATTGAGCGAACGTGACGGCATCTTCCAAAGTCATTAACTTTTCTAAAATTATTTGTAAACTTAAGTCTATTTGTAAATATATATCTAATAAATGAAAACTGTCCCTAATTCCATTAGAGTTTTGCGTTATATTTTGCAATATCTTAACTACATATTTCTGATTTTCCTCTAATTTACTTATTTGACTGCCGAATTCATTGATCATACTTTTTGCTAATATTAAGCATTTCTTTTGTGAATTTTGAACTCTATTAACCTTGTTACTTATATCTGAAATTTCTTTCTCGAATTTAACAGCATCGTCATTATCTAAGTTGCCGGTTATTGTTTTTACGATTGTACCTAATCCGTTTATTATTCCGCGTTTTACTCTAACTGGGGGAATCAAATATGCTAACTTCTTATTTATTAAACTTATACTATATAATATTAGATCCTCGTAGGACTTATATCTATAATTAGATGTTAAGGTATTTTCAACATCTTTAGTGCTTGCATATAATGCCATTAAATTTAATTAATTTAATTGTTGCTAACTTTGTTTGTTATGTTATACACACAAGCTAGGCTAAAGTACTCGGTCTGTCTAAGTAACTGTCCCTATTTGAGTAATAGTACGCCGTTATCATTACTAATGGGATCCAGGGTCACTTTTGCGGTTGATGGTTCCTGCGACGAGGATCTTGGAACAAGATGAGGCCTACGTAGTAACTTGAAGTAAACTCTTATAGACTTTGAATTTGGGTGACTACCTATTATCTCCGCATATATACCGCATAATCAATAAAGCAATCAAAGAAGTAGACACTGTACTTGATCTTGGAGTAATTTATGATAGTAAGTTAACGTTTAATGCACAAAATATAACAAAAAAAAAGCATCTAAAATGTTAGGATTTATCGTAAGAAATTGTCATTCCTTTCGTAATTTCAAAACTAAATTATGGCTTTACAATAGCCTAGTCCGAAGTATCCTTGAATACTGTAGTGTAGTCTGGCTGCCGCATTACGCTACGCACTCATTACGTATAGAAAGAGTTCAAAAATGGTTTATGTGGCATTTGGCGTTTTCTGAGGGTAAGTCAAGAGAACTACGATCTTATGAAGAAAGACTTAATTATTTCAAGGTAAACTCTTTATCTCATAGAAGAGAAGTGCTTGATGCTAAGTTTGTGAGTAAACTATTAAATAACAAAATTGATAACCCACAGCTATTGAATTTGCTTAAATTTCGAGTACCTATAAGAATCCCTCGCAAACCTATTACACCACTAAGAAGAACAGTGCTGGGAAGTAATTCTCCTTATATTAAATTTTGCAAAACAATTAATCTTTTTAGCGATCAAATAGATTTTCAAGTTGACTCAATAGCCAAATAAATTAGCTTAAATAATGTATACCTCACTTTCTAAAATTTGAATATATACATTTTACCTTATGTAATAAAAAACATACCATAATTGAATTGAATTTATTTTACAGCTGTTTATTTTAAGCTACATTTTTATTTTTTACTATTTCATTATTTATATTTTTAATTTTATATTTATTGTTATGATGTTTAACTGTACTTTCTGTGCTTATCTTTAAGTTATTGTTACACTTATACAAGTACTTATTGTTTCTTTCCTTTTTTATTATAAAGATATAGTGTAAACAGTTGTTGATAGGCCTTTTAAAAATAAAAATAAAAAATAAAATAAAAAAAATAAAATCTCTGCGATACTATTGGGGTGTAGATGGATTACCTTATAGGGTCCTTTGAAGACAGGCTTTGTCCTGTCATTCCGCGCTGTCTTTGCCACCTGCTTATATACTATTTCACTTACCTTGAAAGATACTTCTTCAGCATCTCGGCTTCTTCTCGCGATAACCTGTTCTATGTTACCGGACATGTAAGCTGCAATACACTCCTGTATCGCTTTTATTCGGTGATTGAGTACATAATCCTGGTAGAATTCCTTCGGGTTAAACATTTCTAAGGTATTTCGAGATTCTGTGTGATCAAATAGCAGTTCATGTGGTTTATAGTCTGTTACGAAATGTATCGCGTTATTGTATCCTATGATCACGTACTTCATAATATGTTGAATGGGGTTGTCTTTGTTAGTTATTTTTTGTATATAATTTAATTCACAACTACTATTTCTATTTAAATTTTCAGAGTAAATATCTAATCTAATAGGGGCTTTGTTTGAAATATATTTTTTATCAGCTTTTAAGTTAATACCAGATATTCTAAACGTCCCGTTCTTAACGTTAACTATCGCCGCGGGTGATTTTAAGCCATCAGACCAATAGAAATCGTGATATAAGTACTCTCCTTCTATGTAATGGGTCTTGAATGTCATTAACTTTTCGCATCTAGGTTCTTCTTTAAGCTTTTGGTATGGGTAGTTATTTTATTATATTGTTCTATGACCATGTTCTCATAGAAGTTTTTGTTGCTATGACTGCCTATCAAGAGTAAGGTGTCTAGTAATTCTCTAAGCCGTTTTCCAAATCATCCTCCTGTCTAGAACGGCGAGTATGTGTAAGTTCTTGCATCACCTGAAACGCATTTCGCGGTTGACGGAGTCCTCTAATAAGAGCATTTTTAATGGATTCCCACGTATCTAAATATTCCTCATAGGCTAAGGCTTCTACAGCGTTGTCGCTAAGCCTACTCTTAATAAGACAACTTACTAACGGGTGGGTCCGAGCATGTTCGTCTAGCAATAAATTCAATATATTTTCGACTTCGCGAATATAGTGACTTAATAGTTTAGGATTCCCATCATATCGCGGCATTAAATCCAGTATCAACTTAAAATGCGTATTGAAATCTTTTAAAAGCATTATTACTCACTAACTTACGATTCCTGTTAACATAAAACAATAGCGATACGTATTACACAGTAAATTCCTGATTCTAAGGAGTTTAATGAACAATGGAATGACGCTCGCGTTCGTTCATAGTATCGAATGTCTCGTGCGATTGTAGCTAACGGACAAACGAACTGATGATAATTTTAAAACAAAGTTATTGATTTTATTATGTATTTTAATTTGTTGTATTTATTTTAGCTTCTTATTTAAAGAATTTATTGTTGATCTTATTATTATAAATATACTAATAGAATGGGAAATGTCTGTTGCGATTAAAGCTTATAGACATACACACTCAATAATAAAAAAAAAAATACCTAAAATAAGACAGGAAATAGAGCAGGAACACTTGGATAACTAGAGTACTTACCCCAGGATGTTCTGCATCTCCTGACGAGTCCTTGCCCGATCGCGCGATTGAGGTTCTTTAGGATCGCTCAAGGTACGATTTTAGAACCGTGACACAATCGTAATAGAACATTTGATTCAATACGAAAGTGCTGCGATCCTACCGACTGCGAGTTAAGTAATCGGCGATCGGTATTCCAATAAAAAAAATTATTTAATTAATTACAAGGTGTTAACTGTATGACAATTTGGAATGGACTCATTTATAATTACAAAAACTTATGAACTAAAACTAATGGTGTCAGCGTTCCTTCGATGCGCCTTCGCCGTGCTGAGTCTGCAGTAATCGCGGTTATGACGTGTTAACTCCACTCTGGAAATAATTCTAGATACGCCAATGTTTTTAGGTATTACATACCTGATCTTGGATGGCAATCATGAACCCCTCTGTGTCAGGAAAGAGAAATCCTAACTTCAGCTATATGTTCGTTGATTTAATGTCTATATTATGTGCTTTTTTCAACTTTACAACTTCACATTACAAACAGAAAAAAACAGACAAGAAAAACCTGATAAAAAGTGAAAATCACCAATGCAGTTTGAATCATCACAAAGTTTACGACATTCCAATTAAGCGAAATCAGCTTTTACTGGGTTACATTTATTGCAGTACACAACAATGGCACGAATAGTAATAAAGTATTGTATATTTCCTAATATCGAGATAAAAGGATAACGCAACAGTTATTATAAACTAATGATTTGCTCAAGCCCACGCAGTTAATGATAACGAGGAATAATTTAACAAGATTTTATACACTGCTTTAATCCGATGCATTGTTGTGTCAATTTAACGAGGTATTAATTATCAGTTGTTTAATAAACGGAAGAGCATCTGAATAGGAGAACAAACCAATAACAGAGGCTCATTATTCAACTTTAAGTAGAATATGTTGCATTCCAACTGTTTCAATACAAAATCAGATATGAAATGATCTTTAGATATTTCTTTCTCAAAGGTGTTTTTGTCGGAACAACCAGCTTCCATCATTCTTCATCGATCCACACCACTTTTGAGCTTATGTTTGCCGCTATTGACCAAAAAATAGACAAAGAACCTAAAGTAAATGTTTTCATAATAAAAAAAAAACATTTAATAACTTGTTACAAAGAACGCCATCTATTGACAATTTATATGAATAAAATATTTTTGATTAAATTTTTATATGAATAAAAGATTTTATTTTTTGCTCATTGAATTATAAAAAAACTCATAGGCTATTATTAGGATTTGTACTCTTGTGACTAAATGTTCGTAGTTTCTCCGCTTGAGTACAGTTTGGAAGTGTTTCTACGGACTTAAGCCCGGTTTCTGAAACACTGATCATCGTAGAAGATAACTAATCAGCTGTCAAATGGCTTTTCAAATATGATTTGAGTTGCTAAAAGATTGTTAAACTCTTTAATTTGATCATTCTGATCATTTAGAAGATCAATCTGATTTAAAAAGCCTTTTGCCAGCTGATTCTCTCCATCTAGTGGGGGATCGTCCTACACTGCGATGGCCAGTATGAGGCTGCCACTCCAGATCCGATAAGAAAATCGGAAAGGTATTTATTTAATTTAAAATACAACGAAAAGGTGATTAAATGGTGCAAATATTAGTCTCTGGGTTTGGATTTTGTATTTGGGCCATTTTCGTTGGAAACCTTTTGTCCATGGGGTCACGTCAAAATATTTAAAAGAATTATGTACTCAGCTTGTAATTGTTGCTAATTTAATGTCAATAAAGGCAAAAATGGTGGACGTCATTGATACGTCATATGGAAATCATATTTAACAAAAGGTAAATAAAAATACAGGTCTTATAACATATTTCTTTATTACCGACCACACGCTGTGGTAATACTGTAAGCATTTGCAGCAGCGATTATTGCAATGACGTGTCATATAGATGAAGACGACATTATAATTATATGAAATAAAAATGGCGGAAAAGCAACCGGCAAGTTTAACCTTAACTTTATTTTATAACCTAAAAAACTTGGTTACAAGTTACAATTCGTCTCTGTCGACGTATATATCGACATCGTATGAATGATTGCGTATGACCTCCTTGTAGTAATAAGAAGACGCGCGCGGGGTGCGTTTGCGTTTCGGTTCCTTGAAATCCACGTGGTAGAGGCCGAAGGTGACACTGGATGGACAAAAAACATTTTAACTGTAAGTTTTATACTTATACGACATTCGAGTTCATCGAAGACGTCTGCTTTGTGAAATTAAAGCAGACGTCTTCGGTTTCAGTTCAATGCCGGACTAAGCAAGCGCGGAGCCCGAACGAGTATGAAGTAAAGTATCATCCTATACATGTGCCACAGCTGGGCAAAGGCCTCCTCTGTACAGGGGGTATCAGGGCATAGTCCGCCACGCGGCCCCACTGCGGATTGGCGGACTTCGCATATCTTCGAAACATTTTTTTTTATTATTTCGTAAATATGCCGGTTTCCTCACGATGTTTTCCTTCACCGCTGAGCACGCGATAATTCAGCACTTGAAATTAACAATTTCATTGGTGCCGGTACCGGGGATCGAACCCAGGTTGCTCAAGTATGTTGAATTAAAGGGCGAGCGAATGGACACTGAACTATCACAGCGGATCGAATCTTAGATCACGGTTCAATTTTTCTTTTAATCGGTGGTCACGAGGTGGACTCATGGTTTGACGACCCGATATATCCTGGGATTCGATCAATAAAAATCCATTTTATTTTGGCCCGTCACAAGTTTAAATAAAATCGCGTTAAAACAAAATGACATCCGAAAAATAGTTTTACAAAAATCTGTAATTCGCCTAGCTATTTTAGGTTGCATATGTTGCCTAAATTGAGCTTGCTTCATCAATTAAGTAGAGCAATAAAAAATACTCACTTGTAACCGTCCATCCATTCAAAGTTGTCTATCAAAGTCCACGCGGTGTAGGCTTTCACGTTCACACCATCCTCATTGATGGCCAGCCAGACCTGAACAGAACATGGCAGAGTTTAAAAGAAACTAGCTGTGTGCATTCGGTTTTGCTCGCCAATCGTACTCTCGCGCACGAAGTGTTCCGTACCATTATCTATATAAACGGCAGAAAAAATCGTGTCTGTTGTATGGGAGCCCCACTTAAATATTTTTTTATTTCGTTTTCTTTAGTATTCGTTATTATAGCGGCTACAGAAATACGTCATCTGTGAAAATTTCAACTCCCCGTCTATCGCGACACATGAGATACAGCCTGGTGACAGACGGACAGACTAGACAGCGTAGTAATAGCGTTCCGATTTCCCCTATGGGTACGGAACCTTAAAAATCATCATTTCAGCCTGTTTGAGTCCAAACTGAACATAGGCCTCCCCCACAGACTGCCACGAAGCACGATCCTGAGCCACCTGCATCTATCGACTTCCCGCACACTTGCACAAACCGTATTTACCTACATTTAAAACTGGCCGTAGCCCGGACTAACAATGATAATCAGACGTCCAACGCCTCAGTCTGTCCCGTGAGTTGAAAGAGTTTGAAACGTCGCAAAACAACTTTAAAAATAAACATGGTAAATTCATTTATTTTATCATTATATATTTTTCGTATTTAATCATTGTTGCCGACCTTTAATAAAACAGGTAACAAAGGGTAAACTTAATGACCAACGGCAATTTCGTAATGTGTAATCCCGTATATACAAGAGCTTAGAACCTGCGTATAAATTATGTAGAATTCAATTTTATTATTTATTATATTGTTTTATGTTTTCACTTCTGTTTTTAGGGTTCCGTACCCAAAGGGTAAAATGGGACCCTATTACTAAGACTCCGCTGTCTGTCTGTCTATCCGTCTGTCACCAGGCTGTATCTCATGAACTGTGTAGTTAGACAGTTTTAATTTTCACAGATGATGTATTTCTGTTGCCGCTATAACAACAAATACTAAAAAACAAAAATCTCCCATAAAACAGACATGATTTTTTTTGCCGTTATTATAGATGATGTTGACAGTAGTAGTGTTTTTGACAATATGTAAGTGTAATACTTCTATTGAATAAAGATATTAAAACATGATTTTTTTAAATGTGATAGAACATGATTCATGTTGTGCAGACCCCGACAGGGGCAGGAGGATGATAATAACTTGTATACTTGTCCCTCTATTTTAAAAGTTCGCGTCAAACGAAGACGTTTGAAAGAGGCTATTACACTTTCGGATGTTGGTTAGAAATGTCCAGATGGTGAATGATTATTTGTCAAAAGATTTTTTATTGGGTATGGCGGCTCCTCGATATTGGGGAGACTAACTTTTCCAGAAGCACAGCACATACCATTTGGTTCATCGACCCATTTTTTGGCAGAACACTTAGAGCAGATCTTATTCATGGCTCCAGTTTGGACGGAAGACTGTTGAGCTTAATGCATTAAAGCTGATCTGTTACTCTGAGCTTAAATTCGATTACAAACTCTAGTCGTTGACTTTGGTTGTCTTTCTCTCTAATCTCGTAGGCGTTGGGAACGCTCAGAGCTCGATTTCTTAATGTGAATTTGTATATTTATATTATTTTGCTCTTCAAGCCAAGTAGAGCACTTGACTCTCTCCGACTTGTAAGACGATTTACACTTTCCGGTAAAGATTCCTCATTACGGCGTATTTTTGATGCCCTCGCTTGGGAACTATTTCTAAAAAGATGAGATCTTCATTTTTTGGTCATTTTAAAATGATAAAAAAAAATTAAACTGCCTTTGTAAGTACAAAGGCAGTTTAATTTTATTTTCTTATTTCGTCTGTAGTTGTAATTACCACAGCGTGGTACAGGAAGTTATTGTCATTATTGACACTGTAGCTTGGCTGGACGTAGTCAAGTATACCTGCTCCAGGTGGCTCCGGTAGTATTCTACTCGGTCGTCGTCGATGATGTCTTCGTTCGACGCCAACCCGTTCTCGGTGATGAGCACCTCGTGGTCACCGCAGTACTTCTTGAACCAGCTCAGCATCCTTCGGAGGCCAGGGGGGAAGCTCTAGACAAGGAAGGCATTTTGCTATCAAACGGTGACTTCGTAGCCGTATCCAACGTTTGATCTCATCATCATCATAATCATTTCAGCCTGTTCGAGTCCACTGCCGAACAAAGGCCTCCCCAACAGACTGCCACGAAGCACGGCCAAGTGCAAGAAGTGCCGAAAGCTAGGCGGTGATTACGCGATAAAACAAAACTGTTTTTAATTAAACTTTATTTCATTTTCATAACTAGGCCACGGGATTCAACCAACCCTTGTAATGAACAGCAAGTTATAAGTTACAAGTTATTTGCAAATTGTTTTTATACGTATAAATACTTGCCTTCCTTACACCCGTAAAAATGAGGCAGTACACGCTAGCAATACAATTAATTTCAATGATAATTTTACACCTTGGGATGACAAAGGCTTGAAGGACAAACTCAAGCCTATTAGATGGTCATCCATAGGTAATCTCAGAACCCAAAGAATCGTGGCACCAGGGGCAATGATAGAGATGGCAATAATGAGGCCATGATGAGATTCAAAATAATGAATATTTCTTCTCCGCCATCTTTATACTTTACTTAATTTAAACTTCAGACATGTCGTCTTACTTGGAATTGTGTAAACGGCTAGTTATTTATATTATTAATTTTTTATGTAAAATAGTGACAAACGAGCTGGCGGAGCACAGTTAAGTGATAACCGCCGCCCATGGACATTAGCAACACCCGTAGCAAATGCGTTGGCACCTTTAAATAAAGTGGGCCCCGGCTACCTCACTCGCCAGACGAAACGAAGAATTGTAACACTTTTGCTTTACGCCGGTCTTCTGTGAGGTCGTGGTACTAACCCGGATGGACCTGCCCGACCCATGACCTAAATGTCTTATGCCCATTCGTGCTACAGCGAAATTGTTGCGTGGCCTTACCACAGTGTACATTATATAAATATAAGAACATTGTACAGTCCACTTAAGTATTCTACTTCAAGGCTTTTTTCGAAAAGCCACGTACCCAGAACCAGCTGGTGGCCCCCTTTTTCCACGAAGCGTCCACTTCCACAATTGCGCCCAGCTCTGCAGACCCACCGCCCAGGGGCCAGGGTCCTATAACATCGTCAGCTTCTGCTCTTCTCACCAGACGGCTGATGTAGTAGTTGATACCGGAGAAGTCGTAAGTTCCTGTGTACCATTGTCCATTTTAGTATCGTTTTCAAACATCCCTTTTAAGAATTATGAAAGAATCATTGTCATTGGGTTTAAAAATCATCTTCTAATTTAATTAAATTTCAAAGAGGCATTTAAATGTTCTTTTGTTTTATCAATGTCTTAACTGTGAAATTGTATACAACAGCTATCATCGTATTGTTATAGATATAAAATTTTAACCCAGTTTTTTCAAGAAAGACGAATTTAAGACAAATGCCTGAATAACACTATAGCTTTCCCCAACTCATTTTTTTTAGCCCTGAATAGAGGTAATTTAGCCTTGAACCCTAGAACGTATAGTCAGGCTACTAGAATAAAGGTATGTGATTTCACTATCTGTTGAAAAAGGCTATTAAATGAGACCAATAGGTTAGCGGACCATCGTAAATGGGGTCATGATCATCTACTTAATTGGAACAGGTAAGTATGGCACTCGATGGTCTCGAGAATTCACAAATATAGAGAAAGCCCAAAAAATGTGATAACCCCACAAGTTCAAGTATAAGAGTTACACTTCAAAGACACCGTCGTGATTGTACATAGACAGGAAAATCAGCAGTGTCATAATCCTTCAGCACTTATTCCCTAGATGGGGTAGACACATGTGAATCATGCTGTAATTGGTTTTCACTGTTCTTACGACGCCAACCCTCCTTGATAACAAACATCCAGATCCGGAACAATCAGTGTTGCACAACTCAACTTTCCCGTGTGTGAATCAAACCCATGGCCACCAGTGTCGTAGTCAATAGCTTAGCAATTACGTCACGAGTCGCGTTTTAGCATGACCATAATATCTGTAATAACTATCGATGAAACTGAAAAGAAAACTGGTACCTTTGACGAGTTCGATCTCTTCTTTAGTGAAAGGAGGGAGTCTGGAGCGAAAGAAACCTTGCTTCTTGCTGTTCTCAGCGATGACCCGCTCCACTGCCGGAGGCCATCCGCCGAGTTCCGAGTTAATTGGATGGCAGTACAAACCGGCCTGTAATAAGAGACCGTTACTTTTGTAGGAGTCAAGTTAAATGCTTACAGCAATGGAATGGAACAATTTGCCGGCGTCTCTCTTTCTGTTGAAATACAAAACACCCTCTGTGGGTGTCTTCAAGGCAAAAGCGAATAGGCTTTACGGAGTCAGTGCGTTTATCATCAGCGGGTGCATCGGTAGTTACCACCAGGTGGGATAGCAGTCAAAAAGTTAATGCCCAGCTATGGTAAAAAATGTGGGCATAGGTAGCAAGGAGCGGCGGCTATAGGTTCGTATCCAAAGATCAGAAAGAACTTACGAAGACTTAGTTTAACGGGATTAACACCAACAGCAAACATGTTTACATATTTATGTAAATTAGCGAATTTAAATTTTATTATCAGTTTAATGCAGAATAGAAAAATATTTGCAAGCACTTTACCTATCGGTCCCAACGACAACTGCAAACTAGAAGATCTATTCAATCACAGTCCTACCCCTTACTCTTTTGGCTTTAAATCTCCCAAGTAAATCGTTTAAGAAACACACATGTGTTTTTGCAAATAAATCGGAAATTGGACGTCCCCTTCAATGACGCGATTATCTAACAAAATCCACCACAATTCATGTAACTTTACTACATTGCTGGGTTAGCTATAACAACTTGCGTACCGAATACTGCCTGGCAAGTTCAGCCAACTCCTCGTGCTCAGGCGAAGCAGCCTCGTACCAAATTATTTGGTGGGTGATGCCGACTTTACCTGGAAACAAAGAGAAACTAACGTCATGTTTTTTCTCCCTCTAATTCTTCTTCTATTTTGCTTCGTCATTATTAGCCGTAAACATGATGCTAGCCTTACTATTGAGTATGTATGACAACAATCGATATTTAATACCTTGTATATATAATATTCAAAATTTCAATGTATGTTTAGCTTTCATTCAATGATCAATGCACATATACAGACTTCCCTGGACCACCCTAAGTTTGACTGGTAGATAGTGACGATGACAATAAGTTCGCCCTTGTATATACATATTTTCAAGCATAAAGAAAATAAATAAATAGGTAACTAAATGAATGAATCCGTACTATCCATACTTAATATTATAAATGCGAAAGGTACTGCTGTACCGATTTAAATGAATTTTGGTACACAGATTGTCTAGAGCCTGAGAAAGGATATAGGCTATTTATTAATTGGAAAAAATTGATATTTACTTAGGGGTTCAAAGCGAAGCCACGGGAGAAAAGCTGGTAAATAAATAAATGAGTAAATAAATAAATTCCATCATAATTAAGCTCACTCACCTCCATATTTGGGCTTGAACTCAGAGTCGTAGATCCTCCAGGCTTTAGCATGTGCCAGGAGAAGGTTCTTGCTGCACATATAGTTTCCGTATTCGGGGTCCTTGATCCCGGGGGCGAAGACCCCGGTGTTGAAGGCGATCTCACAAATTACCAAGGGCTCGTTTATGGTGATCCAGGTTTTTACCCGGTCCCCGTACAGGCTGTAGACTACTCTCGCGTAGTCGGCGAACCAGTCTGCTATGTGGGGGTTTGCCCAGCCGCCTGGTGAGACATTATAATCCTTAATAATGTTATAAACGCGAAGGTTTGTATGTATGGACGGGTGTTTGTTACTCTTTCACGCAAAAACTACTGAATGAATTTTAACGAAACTATACAATAATATAGCTTACACATCAGAATAAGACAGAGGCTATAATTTATACACATATTTTAATGTATATCTATCTTTCTGTCTGAATGTTACGCCTTCAGCCTATTCTACGCAGACGTAGTCGTGGGCACTAGTTAGTAATATATTAAGTTTCGTCATGGTTAGGTAGCTACGATAAAAATACACGTAAAATTAAGTGTAACCTTATTTGGTACTTCCAACCGCTCTTACCCAATTCCTGGAATCTCTGCGGTAGGTCCCAATGGTACAAAGTGATCACCGGTTCTATCCCTTTCTGGAGCAGGGCGTTGATCAGCTTGTCATAGTAGTTTTTACCATCTTCGCTTATTCTCTCCGGGGTCCCGTGCGGAAGAAGTCTCGGCCAGGATAGGGAGAATCTGTACAAGTTAACAGCAAAGCCCAAATTCATAATCATTAAAAATGTATTATATACCTTCATCCCTAAAAGAAATATTGACAATAGGATTAACATGACGGAATAAATACTTATATTAAAACTAATTTCAGTAAATAAAATAAGCTGTCCCGTGCGAAATTATCAGTGCTCATTTGCAATTATAATACCTAATGGTATCATAATTGCAAATAAGCAATTCTCAATGAATGGTATTTCATTTTGAAGAATAACGTTTTTCAGTCATTCACTTCGCTGTCTTCCGTTTAAACTTAGTATTAATAGATGGCATTGTCATACATTCTTTATAAAAATCTTTACATGGATCTTAAAGGATACATGATGAGTGCTGAGGTAACAAACATAAAAACATTACCGAATCTCTTTTTTTGAAGTTGGTTAAAAATTTCAATAGTCAACAAATGTATGTATCTATTATTATTTGTTTTCTCGTCTGGTTGGGCTTATAGATTAAAAATTAAACATATTGCATATATAAAATAAATATTATGAATAAAAATAAATATATAGATATAAATATTGTATATAATACAATATTAAATATTATATATAATACATATATAAATAGGACCCAACCAGCCGGAAGCCCTCGGCAGGGGAGACCAAACGGCCGAGGGTTAGGGCGAAAGGGAGAGAAACCGGCGGACGATGCGGGCGGTATCGAGCACCGCCTTCTGCATTTGAGCTTGGAGCGATCCGTCTCGGAGTCCCAATCGCCTCAGATGTTTAGAGGGGCTGTTTTTGCTTTATTATTATTATTATTATATAAACTTTATTGTACACCACAAAAAGTTTTATACAGTTCATATAAAATAAATCTTAAAAGCTAGGTACAATAAGGCGGTCTTATCGCTAAAGAGCGATCTGTTCCAGACAACCTTAGGACAAGGAAAATAAACTTATGAATAGTGGGAGGTGGTGTGCTTAATAAACTTACTTAATAATAATAAAATATCTATGTGTGGTTGTCATAAAGAACATAATAATTATGTGTATTTATAACCTGTAGAAATGTAGACCGAGGTCCGAAGCGATCTTGACGTCATCCATCCACCGATTATAAGAGTCGCTGGCAACGTCTCCATTGGAGTGGTCTGCTATCAGTTCAGGGTTCTCGTGGACGTATCTGTCCCAAATACTCTCTCCTTTATCTGTAACGTAATTTTATATATTAAATCTATCTAAAATTACATATTATCTAATAAACCTAATCCACGCGGCATGATGCCAAGAACGCTAGCTGCATTAGGATTAGGTTTATTAGATAATTTTTACCTTTCTTTATCTATTTTTCAAAACATTGCCCTTACCTTATCCTGTGTTGTAAGGACGTTTCTACAAAAAACATTTCACGTGGAGAAACACCCAGATGCGAAAAAACTATCTGTGTGTCACACAAATAGTTGTCACGTGTTGGAATGGAACCCACGACCCCGACGCCGAAGCTAATACTCTTGGCAACTGCGCCACGGAGTCGTCAGTAGATATTAGATAATATGTATGATTTAGATAGATTAAATGTTACAAATATTGGATAAATATTTTTTTTTAGTTTTATATATTGACATTGGATTTTCGGGCATGCACGATTGTTTTAGACATAACTATACAATGGTTAACCGTGTATTTCTAAGATTTATCAACAATTATCAGTCAAGAGTCTATTAATTTTTTTGGAGTCCCAGTAAAGTAAAGTAAAGTAACAGCCTATACATGTCCCACTGCTGGGCAAAGGCCTCCTCTATACAGAGGGTATCAGGGCATAGTCCACTACGCAGCCCCATTGCGGATTGGCGGACTTCACATATCTTCGAAATACATTTTTTTCTTATTATTTCGAAAATATGCAGGTTTCCTCACGATGTTTTCCTTCACCGCGGAGCACGTGATAATTCAGGACTTAAATTTAAAAATTTCATTGGTGCCGGCACCGGGGATCGAACTAAGGTTGCTCGAGTATATATTGAATTAAAGGCGAGCGCCCGGACACTGAGCTATCACGGCTCGGAGTCCCAATAGCCACCATTAATATTCATCATAACTCAATTTTTGAACCATCAATGATAAAACAATTCAAAACAATCATTCGGAACGTGAATTCATAATTCAAATTTCCCGAAAAAACTTCTAAAGATATATTTATTAAAATAAGCGTCTATCGCAGTATATCCTGGGTTAGGAGTCGAACTAAATCTAGTGATTAATTCCATTATCAGAACTCTAAATAGACAGTACTTTTCTGAAGAGAACTGTGTAGATACATAGGTATATATGTAGTACAACAACTTATACAGGGAGGCTTTTCTAAGTGTATCCATTTTTTTAATTAAATTCTAAACATAAATAATGTTATATACAAAATTTTTACTAATATTATAAAGGCGATTTGTATTGTATGTATGGATGGATGTTTGTTACTGTTTCACGCAAATACTACTGAATGGATTTTAATGAAACTTTACAATAATATAGCTTATACATCAGAATAAGACCTAGGCTATACTTTATATACACATTTAAGGCGCTGTATGCAGTGAATTTTTAACTATTTGGGTGGTGAAGTATGAGGAAGCGGAGGAGGGGTAACGCCGCGCGGCGCGCAGCGCGCGAGCTTCGTCGACGCGCCGCTAGACCATTCATTACCTCGTGTGTAGTGATGGCCCGTAACACTATCGATAGTATCATGGGAGACTGTTGAAAATGTACACAGATGGTCCCTATAATATCTTTTATAGACCATGACTATATTTTACTCTTATATAATTATAGGAATAGTAATAAACAAACAAATATAAAGTTTGAGAAAGCAATCAACAATTTTAGAAAATCTACCTATTAATTATTTTAAATTATCAGGAAACGGATTAAAATTGATTAAAAATACATGTTAAGGTCAAATAAATTAATAAAGGTAAATGACATTTATAATTTATTTTGATTTAAAGTAAAATTTTCTCATAAAAATTTTAAGCAATTTCATAGTCTCCTCGGCAGAAATTACGAATACTTTTTTGTTACATATTTTCTTAAACTTTATATCTTTAATTTATCCTTTAAATGTGAAAGACTTACTACGTTATATTAATTCTTCAATGAAATTATATTTAAAAAATTATCGATAAAATTCCTTATATCGATAAACGACAACAATTATAACTAGAATCGAAATATTGTTCCCTTCCGCAGACATCGTGTAGCCTATTGGTCCGAGCGTCATGGTTGATACATCTTTTTCCAATTTTAATTTGTTAATCAATTAATTATTTTGTTGTTATTTGATAAAATGTGGAAAATACAAAAATTATAAAACAATTATTTTTCGTGTTCGTAAAAAAATAGGTTTCGTTTTAGGGTGAAAAATTAAATAAAATTAAAAACAACATACAATATAAGACTTATTAAAAATTTTAAATAATGAAAACTTGGTTTATTATCTGATAGATTGTTCTCCAACTGTTGCGTTCTACGTTCAACAAATACAATAATATTTCGTTGTAATTATTTATAAAAATAAAAAAATCAACAAAAATTAAATGGTAAATTAAAAAAACCTACAAAAAGAAAATCACCAAAAAATATAACAAAGAAAAATGTAGGGATTTGAACCAAATCCCTATAGAATGATGTGTTACCAACTGTTCAAAAATAATACTCCTAAAACAATTCGAAAACCGACTTTATTAAATTCAAACAAAAATTTAAAATCAGGATTATTTTTATACTATAGGAAAAGGCAAAATAATTATCTGATAAAATAAACCATGGTCAAGAACATCAAATATAACATAATTCATTTGAAATATGTTAAGAATAAAATCAAAACAATATTAAAAAAAATTATTAGAATACATACAATATTCATACCAGACACATAGGCCTTGGCCTGACGTCATCCAAAGCAGCACTGAATTTTTTTTAAATAAGTTGTTTTGTGTAGTTTTTTTCGAAAATGTGAATAAAATTTAACTCCTAAAAAATATTCCCTTAAAAATTTTCCTCCCAATAAACTTCCATTCCACATTTTTTATTCCTAAATTTCGGAAGAAAATTCCTAAGTTGGCATCCCTGTGTTTACAGTTTGGTTTTTAGTTTTGTATTTGTATCTTTTTTTCTTATCTTTAACATTTTTCTTTTTTAAATGTAAATACCGTTAAAATAAGATATTATAATTGTGTTATAATTGTATACTTCTGATGCTAAGTGTATAATAGCTAGTGGTGAAAACTTTATTGGCCCACATATCAGTGTGTATTTTGTACTATTTATTTTATGTAAGTGCTGTTTGTTTTCCTAATCAATAAAAATAAAATACACTGTTTGTATAGGACTGATAAACTTATCAATGACAAGATAAGATATTGAAAAAATTACGCTTTAGTTGTTAATTCATACAAATAATTAAAAATACGAAATATGTGAATATATATTTTTTAGTTTCGTGTTTTCGAAAGATCTAATAAAATTATAACCCTCAATAATAAATAAATACGGAACATATTTCGTAACTGTGAGCGGAAGACGAGCGGCATAGATCCATCTAGCAAGGCGCCTCAGCGCTCTCTGTTCAACATGTGGAGTTGGAAGAGAGCCGAAACAACGCCGCGGTGGCGCGGTGTTTTGCCTATCGCGTTCGAATTAATTTTAATGAATTAAATGAATATTTAGAAATATCTTAAATCAATCAAAAAATTAAAACAACAATCCTTTTTATTAATATATTCTACACCACTGATATTAATTTCATTAAGATTTGTTAATGTATTACGTTCATTTTTGGTTTTGAATTTCTCTTTTAGAGGTAGTTTCATGATTTTTTTCTATCGAGAAAATATATCGAGAATATGTTTTGGAAACAATGTTCCCTTAGAATGTACGATCAAGATTGACATATATTTTTTTTGCTGCTATAAAATGTGTAGATTTTGCTAAAAAATCTTTTGAAAAACCTATTTTTACTGCATACAGCGCCTTAATGTATATCTGTCTTTCTGTCTTAATGTTACGGCTTCAGCCTATTCTCTGCAGACGTAGTCGCGGGCAGCAGCTAGTGATAAATATTTTAAATCATTCCTAAGTAATTAATTACATTCTTTTGAACTAATCTCAAAAAGTGCGTGATTAAACGCAACTCATTTATTTTACGCGCGACCATTCATAACTAACACGTGTAGAAGTTCTTTTGTGTGCGTGAACAGTAATATTGAGGTGTTAATGAATAACTACCGCGATGTCAACAAGTCCTGTTTTTAGGGAATAGAATGGTAAATTTTTGAAAAAAAAAATGTTTGTTTTTATTTCAATAAACGATTATACTACCGAGTCTGACTGCCTGTGTAACAAAAGAGTAGTGCCGAGACGAAATGTGCTCTACACTTTGATTTAAACGAGGAGCATACATACAACATATTTTACCGGTGGTAGGGCCACGCAGCAGCCTCGGCTGATGCACGAATGGGCAGGCCCGTCCGGGTAAGTACCACGACCTCACAGAAGACCAGCGTAAGTATACAAAAGTGGAAGTATACAAATACTTTCGCGTTTCGTCTGGTGAGTGAGGTAGCAGGAGCCCAATTTTCAAAAGGTTATCAACGCATCTGTAGCCCTTGGGTGTAGCAAATGTCCACGGGCGGCGGTATTCACTTTCCATCACGTGAACCGTCTGCTCGTTTGGCAACTTTTCACATAAAAAAAACACTGTGCACTGCAAAGAGGACTGTGTACTGGGAAGTTCTTTGATATCCGCATCCGCACTTACCGCTTACATTCCAAGCGCCCTCTATCTGGTAAGCGGATGTTGCAGCGCCGAACTTGAAGCCCGGTGGAAATTTGGATGCGTCGCTTAACCCAGAGCTCAGTAGTACACTAAAAACAACATTTCGAGATGAACATTAGTGAGTCGGTTAGCAGGTTGTACAGCAAGGCGTCAGGGGAATCGGATTAGATTTATATCCAGGGCAAACGTTTGTTACCCGGTAAGAAGAAAACAGAATATTGTAGAGTTGTTGAGAAGCAGTGAGGACTTTTGGCTTGATGGAGCCTTGATGGAGGCTGTTAGCTGTACCCCTCCCAACCTCACAGCCTTTGCAGAGCAATCCAAGTACGGTAAACCACGGTAAATACACTTAAAAGAATTGAATGTAACAAAGGAGATCTTCCTGATTCCTTTTTATTTTCATTTTTAGTGCTAGTCTTCACTCCACGTGAAATTTAAATTATAATTGAATTGATAAATTGTCGAAAACATTTACCGCGCCACCAATATATCCTTGCGCCGAAAAAAAATTATCACCTTTAAAACATAACCTGTTATGTAATCAGGTTTAATTTTAATAATGAATTCTTTACAAATGTAAAGGAAGTTACCACAAAGTAATATGTATAACGTGTTATAATTATATATTTGCAATGTTCAAATATAATTCATGTTTGTGTTAGTGTAGTACCTAATTGGTAATTTCCTATAAGTATAAAAAAACGTTTAAACATATTTTTTTTAAATTGCAACTTACTGTAGTACTGTAGCGTAAAAGTGAGTCTTGAAAGCAATCGAAATGAGTTTGGATCTTTTATATACAGTAAGTAACAAGTTTCTTTTTTTTTAAAACCAGCTTTTATTAGTTACTTTAAATTACAGTAATTTTATAGTGCAATTATTTATATTAATATATGCACTTAAGATTGAAGTTTTTCGCAGCTGCAAGGATTTGAACCTGCTTCATCCGGAAAACGCCATTTTTATTTTATTAGTTTTTAACAAAAACAAGTACTTTCATTAGAAGTACGAATCATTGGGGTTGATGTGGATGAACTATAAATCGACATTTTGCAGCGGTCGCCATGTTGGATTAAAAATGGCGGTATTTATTTGTTTAATTGTGCTATAGTTAAATTTATTCGTTATAAAAGCAACAAATGTTGGCGCTGGCAAGACTGTATACCGGATATGACGTTATCTACTCGAGTCAAGGGACACATGGTGGTATGGAGCAGTGGTCACGGGGTTTTCGGCCGCGTTCCCGGACGGTGATATAACCTCTAGTGCTGCTTGTCGTTATAATAGTTGTTAATATTCAAGTTCACTAATAGTTAAAATATAAGGATCAAGGTAAAAACGTTAGAATTCTTATACAAATTCAATCGATTTAGCGATAACATCCAATTACGAGATAAAAAAAGTGTTTAGTGTTGTGCTGAATGCAAGTTATTCAGAATAACTTACGTTACTTTCTGACATAGATTGTTTAAGCAGTACCTACTGTGTTATTAGTAAGAACATTCGTTTAGCGCATACTGTGTTTTGCTATAAGTAATGAGGCAGTTAGAACACTAGTAGTGTTTCAGTATTTATTTATTCTTTGTATCATTTCGCATCTGCAACCATATCATACAAAATTTTTCAATTTGATAATATTATTAAAGTAAGACATTTAATAGAATATAAATTAAAATGTTGAATGAATTTAAGTTATACCACTTTATATCTGTCGTGATAAGGAAAAATAAACCTTTATTTAGAACTTGAAAGAAACGATTAATGTTATTTCTAAGATCGAGATCTTATCGTCTTCGATTACCGAGCGGAACTTCACCATTCCTCGTGTTGATAACGTAAGGCATTGTCGTATGCATATTTTGACATCTGACAATTACAGGAGTTGATGCAATGATACTATATACCAATACGAGGTAGATATGACACGAGTGCACCCAAATTGAGGCATTTACTTGCAATGTAATTCATTAAATTACATTTATATTTTACTCGTATTATATAAGCATTTTGTCGTCATTTTGTCATAATACTAAAAATTGTTATGGTACTAGTTTTTCTCCGAATCGTACTTCGTCGTTTGTGAGGGACAGTTTTCACTGTTACACGAATGGGCAGGTCCGTCCGGGCAATTACCACGACCTCACAGAAGGCCGGCGTAAAGTAGAAGTGTTACACTTCTGCGTTTCGCCTGGTCAGTGAGGTAGCCGGGGCCCACTTTATTTAAAGGTGGCAACGCATTTGCAACCATTGTACAGGTGTTGCAAATGTCCGGGTGGCGGTTATTACTTAACGTCAGGTGAACCGCCAGCTCGTTTGCCACTTTTTCACATAAAAAAAGGTTAGCCTATGTCCAGCAGTGCAATTTTTTAGGGTATATTTTTACGCAACATTGTTCAGTCCCAATCTAATCAGAGTTTGCACCATGGATACTAGGTAACCGATAAACATATATACACTTGTTTTCTTTTGTAAATAAATACATATCATAGATAAATAAACACCCAGACACTAGAACATTATATTCAGAACAACATTAACTTTATTTATGTTGTTTTAAATACTTTTCAGTAGGTGGGATTGAAGCCATTTAAAGTAAAAAATCGTTTGTAAAAATTTCACGCAAGGAAATTTACAAGCCGCCGATCCAATTATTATTTGACTAACGCCCGACTTCTGAAACACTGATCGTCGTAGAAGTTAACTAATTAGCTGTCAAATGGCTTTTCAAATGTTATTTAAGTTGCCAAAAGTATATTCAATCTCTTTGAATTGATCATTTTGATCATTAAAAATCATTCTGATCAATTCAGAAAGATTATATACACATAGATACATTTGAAATAGCCATTTGACAATTGATTAGTTAATTTCTACGATGATCAATGTTTCAGAAACCAGGTGTAAGTGTAGTGAAACATTTATTTATTTATTTATTTAACAAAATTAATAAATAAATAAATTAATATATTAATATATTATATTATATCATAAATTCTGCCACCTACTTGTTTCACTAATTGCACAACAGGCGCATTCCACGGTTAAAATAAAGTTATATTCTAAAATACTGATCAAATATGCTTACCCAGAATATTGACAATTGTTCACCATTTAGGTTCATAATAGAATATTTTTAAGTTTTTTTTAATTCAAAGTAACATAAAAAAAATTTTTTAGTGACACTGATAGTAGCAAAACATTAATTCTCACCATATCGCGGGTAACAACAATGGCTTCATTTTGTAAACTGACATTACCTCGCCCGAAAATAAGCCGCCGATAAAACTGAAGTGAATTACCTATTCAGTAGTAACACAAATACCTCCCATATTTTTAGTAGATACTTATCACGATTCTTTTATCATTGCTTAATTATAAATTGCTTAATTCGCAATGAGGTAAGTGAATTAGGTCAATAAGGGTTAAAGTCAGTTTGTGTAGAGAATCTTTTTATAGGAAGGTGGCAAACGGGCAAATAGTTAGCCTGAGAGTAAAATTTTGCAACTTAAAAAATCGGATTTCATTTGTTTTAGTGAAGTTTCATTCGCGTTTTATCATATCTTTTTATAGTGCTGGTTAACTCAAGATGAAAATTTAAACGCGACTTTAATAGGTTTAAATGTTTCGACAATTTTCCTTTTATTTATATTTTTCCGTTAATTACATCAGTCTCTCAATTTTGGTAGTATAAGTTGAAGGTATAGTCGAAAGACGTGAATATGAAAGTAATCAGAGCACCTCCCGGTTAACGCGCTTCCGGAATTGCGCCAAGCATTGCTAAAATTTCAATGAAATAAATCAATCATTAATAACATGCTATCGCTTGAAAAAATATCAAAATAACCTGCCGAAAAAAAAAAACAATCTCAGTTATGCTTGTACTAGAATTAAAAACAAACATTACATTTATGGCGTGACGCGGAAGTCCTTAGCTTGCGGGGAAACACAGGTTCATTTGAAGTAACAGTGAAAGAAATTATTGCATTTAGAAAACAATCAGTTAAACTTGCTAATAAAAAATTCTTTTGAATTTCATCAATATATGTACTTATGTCCACTGACTAAGCCGAGTCGATGATGACGTTGCGTGGACGACCCTTGTGGTTGTTTATGTAGGGATGGTAATTCGGTGCGTAACCAGATAGCTGGAATGGTTATTAGCTCTTTCGATGAACAATATGGTTAAGTCTTCAAATTGATTGTATAGCGTTGGGAGTCTGTAATCGCCATTTATTGAGCGGCGCTGAAACCATTTAGCATCTTGTGACAGGAGTGATTCAATCGAAAGTTGAATTATTAAGGGGGGATAATGCTGTTGAGGTACATAAGGTACTTAAGGCTATTGAGGATGATCCGCTCATACATCTTCCCTAAGCATTTAAGGGTTGTAACGTGTGATTTCATCACTTTGTCGAAATTGTCGTTTTTCTAAAGACTAGGCTGCATGTCATAAGAACCTTTGCCTTTTCGAGAGGTCGAATCAAAAAGTTAACTTCATTTGGTCGTACTTGTCATTTGAGATTGCCGCCGGTTCGAATTGACATTGGATAAATTAGTTTTTGTGGATCCATTATCTTCGACTGGTAAGTAGTTACTTGGTTTTGTTCATGCTAGTGGTTGTTTTGTTTACGTATTTCGATTTCTTATCAATTCGCTTTTTTACAGTGCATGGCTAGAGGTTGAAATCAGAACACGTTCCTGGTCGTATTAATTGTGATTGCTGTCTGGGAAACTCTTTGCTGGATTTGTTATCCCTCGTGGTAAGATCCTTTGTTATTTTCATTGGTTTCCTACTAAAGTTGTAAAAAGACTTGCATTGAGAATGTATTTAGAAATCTCATGTGACGGTAGGTTGAGAATTTTATTGTCTCGTGTTTCTAAGTATGGTTTTTCGAATATCACAGGTGGATGCTGAAGGCATAGGTGGCTGGCAAGCTGGTCTGAGCTGCTGCTCGATTAAATATTGTTTTTTACCTCCAGTTGGTAAGTGTTTCACATCTTATAATTGTAGGTGGATTCATATCCCTGCCTTTGTTAGTTCTACAATGTAGTGTTTGTTGGCAGGAGGTCTCCTACATACCCCCCAACAGTGTGGCTGTACACACTACACTTGGCCTAACTTTATCTACTGGTTCTGAGCTCAACGCTGACCTGTGCACACAGGGCTGGTGTCTGCGGTGACATAGATTTTAAATAACTACCTGATTGGACTTTGTTTTTTGAATTGAATTGCATAACTTTCATAATAATAGGCCTTAGCATCTATGACAGATGATCTAAGTAGCGTCGCGGTGACATTTACGCTCGTGGCTGAAGAGGCCGATCCTAGAGGTGATCCCTCGGCTGCACCCTCGGCAAGTGAAGCCCCTTCGTTGTTCGGGGTTGGCGGCTCTTTCTTTACGCCCTGTACGTTTTTTCTTTAAAAGATCGAACCAGGATTCGTCGTGCTTAGATTGGCCTTCTCGAACAAGTTTGTGCCACTTGCCTCGGTCTGCCGACAGCTCTTCCCATTGCTGCGTTGGAATGTTAAATGCGATCATATCACGCTTGACGCAATCTTTAAAGCGCAATATAGGTCGCCCAATGGGTCTTTTTGCATCTGCGAGCTCTCCTAGTAAGATTTGCCTTGGCAAACGAACCTGTTCCATGCGATGCACATGCCCGAGCCACCTGAGCCTTCTCTGTTTGAGGGTGGCGGTGATACTGGGTAGTTGCGCAGCGCCTAGCACAGACTCGTTTGTCATGCGGTCTCTCCGGGTGACGCCTAGTATGCTTCGAAGACAGCGCATGTGGAAACTGTTCAGCCGACGTTCTTGCTTTGCATATGTCGTCCAGGATTCCGCTCCGTATAGTAGTGCACTAAGAACGCACGCTTCGTAAACAAGCATCTTTGTTTTTAACGTTAGATGCTTGTTGTCCCAAGCCCTAGAACGGAGCTTCCCGAACGTGGTGGCCGCTTTGCCGATGCGGGAATCGATCTCTGCATCAAGCGAGAGATTGCTCGACACTTGCGAACCCAGGTAACAGAACTTGCTGACCACCTCCAGTGGAGTGCCGTTTAGCAGAATTACTGGAGACTCTGAGTTTCCTTGCGCTAAAATTACGGTCTTCTTAGCGTTGATAGACATGGAGAATAGGTCACATGCGCTGGCAAATTTGTCTACTAGTTTCTGGAGCTCAGCTTGATCGTAGGGCGACGAAGGCAGCGTCATCAGCAAAGAGAAGGCTGTCAACAAAGAGGTCCTCTCTGTGACGCTTGGACTTGAGCAGGGAGATATTGTACAGCCTACCATCGGATCGTGTGTGAAGGTGGACGCCCTGATTCTCATTACCGAAAGCAACATTAAGAAGTACAGAAAAGAATATTCCAAACAGGGTTGGAGTCAAAACACAGCCTTGACGAACGCCTCTGCGAACGTGAAACGGCTCTGACGATTCGCCATTGTGCAAAACTGTGGTCTCCATGTTCTCGTGGAATGACTGTACTATCTTTAGAAGTTTTGGCGGGCATCCAATCCTAGTAAGAACTGAATACAGCCCCTCCCTGCTCACAGTATCGAATGCCTTGTTCAAGTCCACGAACGCAACGACTAGTGGAGTCTGCTGCTCTCTACACTTCTCTTGTAGTTGACGAAGAGAAAATATCATGTCAACGGTTGAGCGCTGACACCTAAAGCCGCATTGTGCCTCGGGATAAACGCGGTCAGCAAGTTTCTGCAGTTTGCCTAGGATTGTTCGACAAGCTTTACCGACGATACTGAGAGGGGATATTGCGCGGTAGCAGTGACAGTCGCCGCGGTCACCTTTGCCCTTGTAAAGTGTTACGATGTTGGCATCACGCATATCCCGTGGCACGCAGCCCGTTTCCCAGCATTTAGCCAGATGGTTGTGAAGGACTGGGAGAAGGCACTTGAGCTTGACAACCTCTGTGTACACCTCGTCTTTGCCCGGACTTTTTTCTCCTTTAAGCTGATTGACGGCCAGTTGGAGCTCCTCTACGGTGGGTACGGCGTCTAACACATACCAAGTCTCCAGCCTCGGGACAAGCTCCACTGCTTCCGGCTTTATGGAGACGGGGCGAGTATAAAGGCCGGTGTAGTGTTCCACCCATCTAGTCATTTGTCGGCTACTATCTGTGATGATAGAGCCGTTAGTTTCCTTTAGAGGTGCCGTCTTCTTCGGAATAGGTCCAATAGCTCTTTTTATGCCTGCGTAGACTCCGCCAATATCCCCTGCGTTCGCGCACGATTGGACGCCAAGGCAAATTTCTGTCCAGTAAGCGTTTGTATAAAATCGAACGCTACGCTGGAGTGAGGATTTTACTCTTTTGAGCTCCTCACGTGTTGCATCACGCGGGTTGAGGCGGAAGTTTTGAGCAGCACAGCGCTTTAAGTCAATGAGTGGCATCAAGTGCTTTTCATTTTCACGGAACCAATCGCGAGTTTTAGTCCTTTCATAGCCGAAAGCCTCGCCTGCAGTTACAGTGAGGAGAGTTTTTATTCTTTCCCACTCAGCTTCCGGCGTTGCCGATCTGTCCCATGTAGCAACTTCTGTGTTAACCAAGGCCCCAAAACTCGCCATCAATAACTTTCATAATCTCAAATTACTGATCTGACGATAGCTGTTGGCTTGACTGGGCGGTTTGTTTGGCTTGCAAACGATAACTATGTCCTCTTTCCAGACATCCATAAAAGAGTAGCTGGAGAGAAGTGTATTATAAACGCACGCCAGTAAACAGATGGGCGAACCAGGGAGGGTTATTAAAACTTTATTACTAATTTTATCCGGACCTAGGGCGGACTTGGTTCTAATTATTTTAATGATGTATTCGACCTCTTCAGGGGTCGATAAATTTAAAGGCTCGACTGCTGGTGGTAGGGCAGTCTTTGCTCGATAACGTGGTCTCCACCGGTGGGTGGACTGGATCAACGTGTTCGCGAAAGGACGTACGTTGTAACTATAAGTCGTCCGTTAGGCATGTGGCCTTTTCGGAATCATCAAAACCGTGCTGGGCCAGTGAGCCACAGGTACTAAATCCCTCTGCCACAAGGCGGGAAGCGGATGCCCTGCTTTCATAGCAGTGCTCCAATAAGTGATATTTGACCCCTAGTTATAGGCCTCTGAGTTGGGCCTTCTGGTATCGGTCGAAGGTCCCTTCAGCCATGTTTGTTTTTCCCTAATAAGCTGACTTAGGACGATCGGAAAATTAAAGCGCCGATCCTACCTACTTACGAAATTT